GAAGGGGAATATTTCTAACATAATGGTAAAATTCACATAGCCAAGTATTAGCAGCTGCACCTCTGGTGCTTAGATAAAATTGTGTCTATCAGCTCACTCTCAGAATAGACAAACGATACCACAAGGAGTGTTTGCTAGGGAAAGGTTTGCATTGTAGAAAAACACCTGAAATAACTTATGCCCACTTGAGAACAGCGTGTTTCATTCCAAAGAGAATCTTTAAATGAAGAGTTAGACATTGAGATTCAAGATGTTGAGTCTTTTTAACAGTTCTGAATGCTTCTTCAGGGCACCTACAAAAACGTCATGTCACAGCACAACACAAGTTTCTGGCTTCTTAGAAGGGGAGTGCTGGAGCTTTAAGTATTTGGGTAGCAAGTGTCATTAAGTACAAATCTTACTCCCTTCTCAGGATTAGAGCTTGTCTTCACTAATGTGTTAATTTGAAATAAGTTTGTCCCTTGCATGACTCATCTCGAAGCCCAAAAATTTCTAGCTCCATTTCATTGGTGATTTACATGCAAAATAGCTGGCAACAGAATAAAAAGGCTTAGACTAGGAGCAGAAGCCAGCAAGCAGCTGATACTCAAAAGCAGGCTGTGCATCACATTTAGCTCCAGAGGCAGACCAGGGAGGATGGCAATCATCAGCAGGTGCAGTGGGGAAAGCAGGTGAGAAACTGGGGGGGAAAAGGGCTGTCAGCTCAGCTGGATCCGTAAGACAACTTCTGCCCACAAAATAGTTTACTTTATATGAACTTACGCAAGCACATTTATTGCTGGTTGACTACAAATAGAAAGGTGGAATAATAGGTTCCACCAGTTTATTTCTGCATTATTTTTTTAAGTCATCCAGCTCATGGATATTTACTCTCCCAGTTTTGGCATCCACTCGATAGCAGACTTCCGAGCAAACCCAAAAAAAGGTTACTCATTAAAAGAATTGTAACAGCCTCAGCTTGTGTATTACAACTTGCACAACTGGTTGAAAACCAGCTCACTGTTTTTTAGCTTACCTGGTGTAACTAAACACTCAACTCAAAGTCTAGATTTTCATTATTTTAATTACTTACTGGGTGGTTTCAAGATGCCCATATTTACCACTCTCTGACTGCATTTTTTTAAATTTGTTTAGAAACACTGTATTTCTTCCTCAAGATTAGACTACATAGTGCCATATGTCTAATTCCTGAATCAGGGGATCCTTGTTATGAGTTTAAACTGGTAAACATCGTAACATTTAGAAGGAGAAAAGTCATCTCAAAAGCCAACTGGTCAAGCAAACATTTTGTCACTTTGCATTTTTTCTTTCCTTCCCACCCCACAGGAGCTGTCTCTTTCAGCCAGTCAAAGTGGAAAGCTACTTCAAGCATATTCAGTTCAACGCAGTTTTCACTGCTGTCCTTGTTGGTGGTCCATCATATGGAATGGTTTTAATACTTGGAAGCAATACCTTAAGTGTCAGAAAACAAGAACATTTTATTTCTTTAAGAAAGCTTTCCAGTACTACTAGTATTCTGGAAAAGAAAAAAAAATTCCTCGCAGTAGATTGAAATGTGAAAAGCCAAAAGAAATCAGTAGGAAAACCAGGAAACTATTCTTCATGGCAAGGTTCAACTTCTATCTCAAAGTTGGGGGACAGGCTGCTACTTATATATTTATTTTAAAATTCATTCAGAAATTATAGGAAAGGGGCATATTATTTTCCATCTCATATTTCTAATGGCAAATGAAGTTTTTGGCTATGTATCAAAATCTTTTTGGTACTGAGTTAGATTTAAATTACATTGACACAGCAGAATTTTAGCAATGCAGTACGCAATGCACTGATGCAAGACATAGCTTGCTGAACAATGCAGGAGCTGTAAGAAAATGCTCAGTGTAAACATTTGTATGTTTCTGGTTTTCAGGAGCCCTCAAAAGTATTTGCTTTGAATCACTTTTCCCTGAAGATAAAGTAGTAAATGTGTCAAAGCTGTAATGTAACATCCTATCCCAATGTAACCTCAATGAATAAAGGTGGCAATCAGGTCTTACAAGGCGTTTTCATCTACTGTCACAAAAAGGGGGAAACAAAAGAAGATATATTCACTGAATTTTGAAAATATCTAGCCAAAACAATTCATCTGCGTGTAATTCTTAAGTATGCACATAGCAACTGAATATGCAAAGGGGTTAGTGCAATCCTGTGCAAAAATGAGAGCACAGTCCTGCCAGACTAAACCAGAACAAAATGTACTATCTTGCATGTACAACATGAATCCATATGTAATTTTGCTGGGTTAGAACAGAGTACAGTGTGTTCCCATTAATATTTACTCATCTTCCATTGCAAACTGTAAGCTTGCCTTTTCAGATAGCAAATACTTTTGAATATTTAAGTAACAGCTAGTTCTATTTTACTGAGATTACTTACTAACAAAGGAATGAATGATCCTGATTAAACTGGCTCCCTGCTTGAAAAATATCACACATAACAGCCAAAGAAAACCCCTTTGAAACATTCCTGTGTTTGGAGGATGTAAGGAAACTAATCTTGGATCATGACGATGATGATGCTGTATAAAAATAATATCCATCTATCCCAACAAACTTTAAATTTTATTGACGTGGGTATGAGGAACAGTGCAAGGGGGGAAGGGCACAGTTGGAATCATACAGAAGGCTCACTTTTCCCACAAGGGTCTCAACGTCTTGTTGGTTAGCCAAAAGACCAGAGGTTGTGACCCACCCTCTTCTCCCACCCCCATGCCGAAGTCTTAGGAACCTCTCATCCCTTTATCTGTTCTGCTCCCTCCCACAAACACAAAGAGAGGTGTGATCTTCATGGTGGATCAGACTTCTCTTGTTTTGTTGGCATCAAAGTGTACCAGGTTATTTCGGTTTTCCAATTTTCAAATAAATTAATGGATTTTAGGATGTACAGGAACATCAGGACTCTGTAGGTATGTCCACAGGATAATCCTGGCATTCAGGGAAAAGGAATGTATTTCTCATAGGCCAACACCCATTCACAGTGGGCAGGAAAGTGAACTGAACCCTCTGGTTTAAGGCTTTCTTCCATTCATAGAGTAAATGTCAGATGAAAGAGTAGAATGAAACACAGGAAACAAGAAAACATACAAGTTTTCAAAGCTTGGTTTGACCATGATAGAATTTAGTTTTGAATGAACATTTCAGCAAAAGCATAAGTAAATTATAACTGTACATTATTACAATCTTGTTATTAATGTCCTAGGACATCAAGGAGAACAATCTTTATATTTACCAAAGAATTCTTAATTTACTTCCTAAAAGGTAAACCAGAGGGAGAGATTAGTTCCCATCTGCATTCAATGTGTTTATATTTTTAAATAAATAATGCTTAAGGACTGAATTTCCTTTCCAAAGAAACTACTACTGATACAGTTGCTTTTATTTTCAACATTCTGATGTTTTAACACCACTTTCAGTACCAAGACTTCAAATTTGATTCTATGTTGTTTGCTAAATGTCTGGGAAGAACAGGCTTCAAAGCTGAATTACACTTGTGAAAAAACAGAAGCTGACCATATCCCTGATCCAACTCAGATCCCAACGGAATTAATGGAAAACTTTCCATCAAATGGAACTGAGCTTGGAACTGGCTTCTTTATAGGCCTATGCTGGTATTTGAGGGGCTTTGGGGAGGGAAATTACTTTTGTTTGTTCAAACAGTCTATTCAAAGAATCAGATTATGCCCTGTTACATTTGGATTTATCATCTTCTCTAAAATGTGCTCCATTTAGTGGAAACTATTTTTATCAACGTGTATAACCTTTATAGTGTTTTTCAACTACTGTCATTAAAGGCAGCTTGAGTTGCACGTGCATTTTATTGTCCTGTAAGTTACTGCCTGCCCAGGTGTTTGGTCCAGGGGACGTCTTAGGTAAGTACCTTTTCTGCAGATAATCAAGACCCTGTAGGGTAGAAAATTCATGAAGTATTGTATATATTTAAAATAAATTCACATTAATTACAGTAGCTCAGCATGCTTTCCATTGTATCTTTTCTGCTTCCTTTTGTCTTCCTAAAAAGAGACTCAGTCTAAAGCTTTAATAAACTCACCTCAGCTCTCTTCAGATTAGTGGTGAGCAAACTATGTTTCTCCTGCAGGGAGACCATCTTTCAAAGTAAGGCTGCCAATCACTTGACTTGCATACCTTGTGACTGCAGGGCAAGCTTGTCTCTTCTCTCATTTTTACAGGGAGTCTTTCCTAAAAATTCTCTCCTCTTACGTTAAGAAATGTACTGTAAGTGTCTATGAATGTAATTCAGACTGTTTTGATGTGAAGTTCAACTGACTTCTGGAACACATTGTGTTATGAGTAAATTTCCACAGAATGCCACACATTTCCTAGGTCTACTTTAGATCTTTTGCCAAGATTAACAGCATTTCTTTCATGTTGCTTTCTTTACATTTGTATCTATATTCCACATTTAACATAACGGGTCTGGAGAAAGCATTAAAGATCTTTAACTTTAAAATACATAATTTGTTGCTTTCTAAACACTCTGCTTCACCCATTATTATACTTTGCATTTGTTTCTTTATAATTCACTCAACCTTCCCCTCTGAAAACTTCATGAACTGCTAAAATGTGCTGACTTTTCACAGGTTGGGAAATGCAACATTTGCCTTGTACTGATTTATCCATGAAATAATACAATTTAGGATAGCTCAAACAATTCACAGAAAGGACAACCACCTCTAATTCTACACATTTTACAGAACTAACTATAAACATCAATTAACACATCACTAAACATTGTTGCTCTACTTCATCCTATTAATGTAAGTGGGTTTCTGTGAAAAAGTGCCTTGATTTTCATTTCATGTAGCGTGTTATTCAATTGGCTATAAATTTGATGTGCCTTCAAAAGATAACACATACTTTGTATCTTAGTTTGTTTCACAGTAATCTATACATCAGAGTTACAGGAATGTGACAATTTATCATTTTCACTTATGCCATACTCACCTGGTCATCATAACGGTAAGTGAGGAATTGTTCTCCTGTGGTATCCTCAAGAAAACTCCCCTGTGGAGAAAGTGCAAACTCAGGCAAGAAGTATGCACCTTGGGACTGCTCTGCTCTCGTCTGTAAGAGATTCAGAAAGGTCACATTACAGCTACTGTAAACATAAGTCAAAATTTAAGAAAAACTCTATGCATGTAATTACAGAGACTAGACTTGAACTTTTTTTGGGGGGAGGGGGTGAGGGCTGAAGCGACGTATTTTCAGGCATAGGATTTCTGGGTGGATATTTTGCTACAGCGGTCTCTGACAAGGATATGCCAGATGCTTACAGGGGTCCGAAACTAGACCAGATATCTCAACAGCAGAACCATCAATTAAACAAACATACCATCTCCGGCTTATCAACCATCACTGCTGAAAGACACTGTGAAAATTACCCTGGAAGAGCAACATCAAGCTTCACTTTCTTTTTCTTTATACTCTTCACTGGACAGTTACTGGCTGCTGCAGGTAACAGGCTTTTGATTAAGTACAGTGTATCTATTCTTACAGGAAAATACAAAATCATAGAATAACTCAGCTTGGAAGACATCTTGAAAGCTCATTTAGTCCAGCCTCCTCAAAGTAGGGTAGCCTGTGATACCATGACAGTGAATTACTTTCCTATCCTGCAGGAAGATATTACTGCAAAGAAGCAATCAGAAGGGAGCAGGGAACAGCTGGAGTGAACACCAGGCAGTGGTCTGTATCAGTTCTGTACGTTATTCACAATTGGTTAAGACCAAAGAACAGACTGGGAGAGGATGAAGGGCTCATTTCCAGCTACAGAGGAGCTAATTGTGTCAGATTAGCCATCAGTACCTCCAGCTGGGCTGACTGACACCTGAGCTCTTATTAGACAAATGGCTTTTGCTTGACTGATGTATGCATGTTCAGTAATCATAACACACCTGATACGTGCCAGACATGCTAAACATGCTGGTTGAATACTCTGTCATTACACTGTACATCTAAAGCATCCCAGATATTTAGTAAAGGTACTGCAAAGACTCTTACATCCTTATTCCTACTACATTGTAACTTTACCCTGAGAAGCTAACTGGTTTGCATACTGGGGAAGATAAGCAATTATCTTCTGAATGCAGAATCTTGAGTCCAGCTGAGGTGGGAGAGAGTGGAATAAGCAAGGAGATGAAAGTTACCTTCCAAAAGGATGCAACCTTTCAGGGAAGAAAACAAGGCCTGAAATGTACAAGTCACTGCTGGACATTTCCCAACAAGTCAACTTAATAAATACGGTTTCATTAAATTAATTGTTCTATTTTGACATACACATAGTAATTTTACATGAAAGCTAGCAGTTTCCATCGACCAGTTTCCAGACTGTTGGCTAGAACTGTACCAAATATAGGTGTGTTATCTCAGTGCCAAATAACTAGAGATTTCAAAAGTAATCTGCATAGTTTAAGCAGTTTGTGGTAGAAAAGGAAGGCGAGACCTGCAGATTCTCTCTTGCAGCAAGTTCACTTTCTGAAGCTCACAACTTATCTCATAAAAAGCAGATGACATGTCATTCGCAGTATGGGTCTGGAGAAGCTTATGTTGCTTTTGCTTACTCTGTTCTGCAAAGAAGCTGTCAGCTTCTCACGCTGTAAACCCCATCATTCCTGACAGCATTAGATTAACATACTTGTTTCAAGCAAGCAATCTTCATATAAACTAGAAATAGCTTGCAAAGGACATGTCTAGACTAGGGTAAAAGGTCATATTTTAGCATGCAAGACTGAACAAGATTTGAAAGAGGATTTTTTCATCAGACCTGCATAAAAGCAATTCATGTTCACATGTTATCATGACGTTTCTATAAAGCCTATTGTAGGACTGGTCTCATTTGTAGACTTTAGCCAAGCGACTACTTATGCAGAATTAAATCATAAAATTAGGAGAATAAATCTACATTTGATAACAATTTCCCCATACAGCAAGTGAGGGCCACAGTTATGCTTCTTGCTGAATCCAAGCTGGCTGCAGCTGATGCAAACCTTGACATGTTAAGTATAACCCAGACATGAAACTGGCTGACATAATCTGGCATTTTTCCCTACTGGTTTCACTGGGCTATCGATAGATCCTATGTGAGGGAATATGGCAATGATGTAATCCTATGATTTCAGTACAGGACTAATGGATAAGAGATACACATTCTAAATCTCAGGTGGCCTGTGTTAAAGTACTTTTCTACCTCAGTGTCCCCAGGTGTAAAGCACAATTACACCACCAACTGACACATATTAATGGTGTATTGTAAAGTTTAGTTTATATTTGTAAAATACTTTGGAAAAGCACAGTGTTAAGTGCTAGCGATTTATAACAATAGTTTTGAAAGAGCTGCCTAATCTACAGACAGAAGAGAATCCAAGTAAGCCAGCACACTTCTTAGATAAACGTATATATCACATTGTTGCCTAAATTCCCATAAACAAATTTGTCAGTAGGATATGCGGTGATTAACTTGCTTGTGTTTCTCATCTCTATAAGCTAAACATTTAAAACAGAAAGTCTTTGGACATTCATCAGTATTATGCTTTGAATATAAAAATTGCCAACTTTTGAAGCTGAAATAACAATGTAATAAATATGACATGAAAAACTAAGAGCTTCTCTCAAACACATCAATTTTCATATTACAAGCTAATGAGCAGCTAGCCACTGGAGAAGCAGAAGAATGCTTGCTAGATAAAGGCAAGCAAAACCTGGCTTCCAAGCATGGAAAAATTTAATGTAAACGATGAACATTTTATAAGGTTATACAGGAGGTTACAGTGGAAACTGATCTGCTAACTACAGCTATAGGTACTGCTACCTACCTAGGATAACTAAAGTAAGGAAGTATCCAGCAAAACATTTAATGAAAAATAAAAATCTACTAAGAACACTCTAGGAGTTGCCATGGCAAACCAATGTTGCAGCCAAGCAAAAACCCAAATCAAGTTCATTTAAAGAAATAATCAAAGCTTCAAATGCTCAAAGAACTCTTTTGTGTCAACTTACCAAAGCAGCAGAAAAACATCTTTTTCCCTCTAGTATAGGTACCTTCAAATAAGCTCCACAGGTCCAACACGCTTTCATTCATACTGAACACAAAATGCACTGTTTCCACTTAGTCCACTTTATTCCCCACTGAGGAAGCTACCAATATTCCTTGTGAGCTTTTATATTTCTATGGGCATTTTTGCTTCAACGTAATTCAAATTTCAACAATCTGTGGTTTTATAGTATATTTGGGATCATCTGTGAATGACTTAGCTGATCTGATATAAATTCATGTTTTAAACTAGACTGCAAGGCAGATTTCAGAAAACAATTACATTTCATGCTAGAGTTTTAAGTCTGTTTAATGGCCAGTTTAATGTTAATAGCTTTAAGTTAAACGTGTTAAATTACATTTAAGATTTAGAACAGGCATTTTAAAACAGTTTTTATGATGATCTTAAGCATACAAAGACAGTAGAAGGTGATAATCTAGCCAAACCAGATATAATAATAATCACTGCATAAAATTCATTGAAATTAATGTATCAGGGAGCAAGGAAGTGGGACAAAGAAGAAAATCTAGAAGTTGGGAATAGATTGGTGTTTGAAAATCTTTCCACGTGTTGGTTAATCATAACATGTAACTCATTAGTCAGAAACCCAAAAAAAAGTAAGTGTCTTCCATGCTACATCATTCCACCTATGTGATCAAGGAGAACCACCCTGATAAGTAGATAACATACGTAGGTTCTGGGAAGTGTAAAATGGCTCTGCTTTTATTCAAAGGCTTATGCTCTGAGCACAGCTTTGATCTCAGGTTGTGATTGCTTCCTCACTCATCACTCCCCACCTGAGCGCTTGAAGACTAAATTACTCTCCCACTTTCAATTGCAAAAGACAAAATGAAAAGCTTATATCCAAGCTTCTGGATTTTAGATCTCCTTCCACTGAGAGTTTCATGTTGTCATTTCTACTGCTGCCCAGTTTCACTGCTCTATATTCTACTCTGACTAGAAGCATCTGCCCAAGTTGAAGTTGCTGGATTTGGGTATTCTATATTTTATTATATTACTGAAAGAGGGATGATTACTGAGTGCTTCCCAGCCAATGCTGACATTAGCAAGTAGTGTGGCCAAATAGAACTGAATCTGCAGATAAAAATAGCGTGCAGGACCAGATGCCCACACAAAGCATATTTGAAGGCGAGTGACTTATTTCAACTAGCTCTAGTCAATCCTGTGGACTGAGTATCTCTCAGTGACCAAAGCACAGTAGGTGTGCCACTGGGGCACATCTTCTGGTTTGGTTTGACCAAAAAGGAATCCCATTAGCACACTCAGAAACCACTACACAATGTGAATTACTGTAATTGCTCTTTTTTCCCCCTTGATAGCCAGGATTCATATTAACTATTGCCATCCAACTCATTTGTAATTACCAAATCAGAGCAATCACTAAAATGCAAAGCTGCCTTATGACTAAAAATTACAAATATTAATCATGAGTCATTCCTTCCAAGGTACAGATTAACGATTTCATCCAAGGATTTCAACTGCTATTGTAATTTCAGATAAAAACATGTAGTTTCGTCAACAATTCTCAGGGATCACATGATACGAAGGCTATGAAAAAGTTCAACTGGACCTCATAATAACAAGTCACTATTCTATTTAATCCTAGTAATTGTTCTATATTTATATATAAACAGCAACAGCTTTAGAAAGTGAGGTTTCTGCTAAGTCTGAGTAGTGAAGGTCAAGAAGATGAGAAAACAGATGGAATATCTCAAATGACTTGAACACAGTTAGAAATCAAACACTAATCTTTCAGGTACAGAGGAATTTTTAATTTTAGAGTTTGTTGGCACCAAGAACCACATTAAGAATAAGAACTACGCTCTTATGCACACTTCTTAATGCAAATCAGCATTATCTGAATTTGAATCAGTCATTCCCTATCTAAACTTGCATGCTTGCTAAAATTGGGAGCATGATGAGAACAAACTGGTTTGCGTAATGAAGAAGATTAAAGCTTTAAAATTATCTAATTTAAATGCCAAAGATGACAAAATACCACACTTCCTGAAA